AAAAAAAAAACTGGATCTTTGCCTCAAACATTGCATTTGTCTTAGAAAAATGACATTTCATATCTCTATAACACTGAGCTTTACCTCCCATTTGCTTAATGAAAAACCAACAAACCGAACCTGATTAACACCCACTCACATCCAGGCTAATTTGGACACGCTTACAGCACTCAAGAATCGTCTGCGGTGCGAACGCTGTGTGGTTTGGTGGAGGCACACGTGTCCTTGAAAAACAAAAGAGGAGGCTGGGTCGTCTCAGCCGTCAGAGGGCCTCCATTGTCAGTCAGGATGAGGGCATTTAGCAGCACCCATACTAATCCACGGCTCACTTCATCTCAATCAAGCCTTTGTGTTCTCCACTTGTAACTGCGCACAAGAGGCCTGTGACGCCCGATCGCCGCGGCTGGAGTTCACAGGCTACAACACACTTGAACTCACTGACTCAACGCCTCCACCCCTTCCTTTGTCTCACAGGTAATAACCAACACGGCCAAAGAGGGGTTAATAGGCAGAACACTGCTTATGAGAATGTAATGGCAGCTTAAGAAAATCTGCTTAAAGCATGTTAACCCTTCTTATAAAGCAGAATCTGTTCTGATTGGATGAGCCATACAGCATCATCAAACAGTTATAAAGGCGCATGTGACTGCACATTTATGTATCAAGTCACTATGTAGCTTTTGTTTGACTAATGAACTGTTTTAGTGGAAGAACTGCTTACTCTGATCATAATAATATTGATAAAAAATTTTTTATTCATAATACACTAATACTAATATAACAACAACAACAACAGAATATTCAATGTTCAATAATAATATATTAACAATACGTAATATTGTAATATTAAAGAATAATTAATATTATCAGTAATAATTATTATTATTTATAAACAAATAAGATTTAATTTGTTTATATAGTTAATGCATTCAGTATGAACTAAAATTAACAATATTTTTTCAGCATTTATTAATCTTGATTTATGTTTCATTTCTAAAAGCTACATAGCCTTTGAACTAGATTAGTGGAAGAACTACTTTGAAGATGATGATGATTTATTAACAATAATAAACTAATAATAAAAAAATTATTCAACTAATTCATTATTATTATTATTATTATTAATAATAGTGAATCATTAATAACAACATAATCAATAATATATTAACAATAAATAATAATAATAATTATTATTATTATTAGCAGTAGTAGTATTACATCTACAATACGATTTAATTTAATGACAACATAAAGTTAATAATAAACGTTCAAATAAAATATGAATTAAAAATTATCACATTTATTAATCTTGGTTATTGTTAATCTCTGCTAAAGTCATATCTGCTAACATTAATATACTGTGAACTCACATAAACATGATACTTTGTATTAATTAATATTAATGAAGTTAATAAATGGTGTCAAATATATTGATCATTGTTAGTTCATGTTAATTAACACATTAATGTTAACAAATGATATATAATAAAGTTAATTACAAACAAACAAATTAAAAATTTATAATTATAACTTACCTTTTACCTGGATTAAAAAAAAAATGCTGTAAAAAGTTGTTCATTTTTAATTTATGATGCCTAATGCATTAATTTTAACTAAATAAAACATACTGGTAAGGGGTTGCCAATAAATGTTAAAATTATTGATCAATGTTGTCTGATTCTCCTCCTTTCTGTTTCTATTGTTTTATAAAATCAATAAGCCACTTGTGAGCATCTGTGACAAGGCAGTTTTGCGTCATTAATGCACAGCCTCCAGTGGGTTATTGCTTTGGTAACCTTGATTAAACTGTAATAGGACACATCTGAGCACCACAAGCAGAAACTGGATCTACGTGCAAACCATCCCACACAAAACATCAATAATGCCACACAGAAACCATCATGTAAGAAAATACACCTAAGAAAATCCTCAACCATAACACCTCAAGGCCAACTAGTTTCTGTAGGGATGAAGCGAGGCGAGTGTGAGATCTCATTTTTACTTCGACAGACAGAACTCTCTGCCCTGAGCATCCCCTCTCATTATTGACTGAATCTGAGGTTCTTTATGACACTGGGATGTGTTTGTGATCGCTTCATCAGTATTCCACCCCTCTCATCACTCATGGACAGGAGACTAATCTTTTCCTTACTGCGTTATTTCTCATTCGACTTGCTGCAGGTCACTTAATGAGACCCCTCCCTGATGGGATCAGCCAAATGAATAAATAATCAAAGGCAGATAGCTGAAAATCTCAAAGAAAATCCATGTCTAGACAAAGGAGGCAGCGAGACGAAGGGACGTTATGGTTTGTCTCCCTCATGTGGCCAAGATCCAGTTCTGTCTAACAACTGGAATTTGTGTCTTTGCAATAAAATATTATTATCATTTTCCAAATTTCAAGTCATCAAAACTATCATCCAATCCAACTCATCAACCAAACCAAACCAAAACAAAAAAAACAACAAAAAAACAAAACTTTGTATTATTATTATTTCATGTATTGTTGCTATTATTATTATTTGTATTTATTATTTTGTGGCAAATAATATTTTATAATAGTATTAATATTTTATAAATATCAATATGTGGTAACCATGATGCATTTTCCAGGATCCTTGCTAAATTAAAAAATAAATCAATCAAAAGAAGCATTGGTTATAAATAAAATAAAATAAAATTTTAATTAAATTAAAACCATTTTTTATTAAATAGAGTAAAATAATGATGTATCCCTATATGCATACACTTTTTTAAAGCAATTTTTTAGATTTCACTGAGACTCACAAAAATAGAAAACATCTGCACATATCATAAATTGGACACGAAAGTGACAATCAACAACCCAAAAAAAATAAATAATAATAATCAATAACTACACAACACCGGATTGATCTCCATCTCCCTCCCAGCTAAGTGTGATTAAGAAAGGTGCCACAAGGGGGCTGCAAACATTCAAGTTTGGTCGGACAGCAAGTGTAAATCTGACACTATCAACACAGCTCAGAATGAATCTCACTTCATCCACAGCGAAAGAGACCCGTGACGAATGTTCTTTTGGGAGCGACCCTAAAAAAATCTCGTCTCACTCTGACTATAGAAACATCCAGAAGGCAGAGCCAATAAGAATGTGAGATGTGCACAGGAGACCAAGTGACCCCTCATGATGCCAAAAATGACATAACAGTGCTAATGAATGTCATACCCATGTGTTTTGTGGAGCTAGTGAGTCCACAAGTCAGTGCTGTGGCCCAATATGACCCTAAATCAACAGGAAGTGTTCTTAAATAGGCAGTTTTTGATTGACAGCTGCTTGTGTCAATCATACATGTTAGTTTGGTTAGCTTTGGCTGCATGATTATGCTGGCAAATGCCTGTTTCTCTTTTGTTGGCCATTTAAAAAGAGCCATATATTCTGATGAAATGCTTTGCAAGCAACACGCAAAACTGCAAGTATTTCAATATGTTACAGTAGATATTTTGCTAGTGCCGTTAAAAGCATGCGTAAAAGCATGACCAAAACTGAGAGCCCAAAATATACAAAAATATACAACTTAAAGATACAACAACTACTACTACTACTGCTGCTTCTACTAATAAATACACAAAGAAATAATAAAATAAACGTATATATATAGATGATATTTTCCTACAAATATATATAGATTATATTTTCCTACAAACCCAGACAAAGTTAATGTTCATGTAGAACAGTCAACATCTTACTAGTTAACAATTAATTTGTGCCTTTGTTTTTTGTAATATCATGTAGAATTTAGTGATTGAATGGTCATGCTGTGTAAAACAATTTAAAACTGTGTATATACAATTGTTTTTGTTTTAAACTGTGATGATTGTGAATGTTTTTCGATGAGATACAGAAAACATTGTTTGCATTTTTTCTGCAATTACCTACAAAAAAAAAAACCATCAGAAAGAACTCAAAAGAAAATGCCTTATATATATATATATATATATATAAAAAAATTAAAATGCCTGCTCAGATTTGTTCTATTATTTCATGAAACCTTGTAAAAAATCAATAGAATCAGGCATATGTAAAGCTGTGGGTTTTGGAATGGGTTTTAAAAAGAATAAATAAAATGCATTCATAAATATTAGGGTAAAAAAGCATCCAAATACGGCCTTTTAAAAACAATTAAAAAAAAGAATTTAAAAAAGAAATTTGACATCTCTCCAGGTAATTAAAGCCTGTTTACACTACCATGCAAATGTTTGGGGTTGGTGAGATTTTAACGTTTTTGAATACATTTCTAACTGTTGTCCTGCTTAATATTTTTGTGGAAACCATGCATTTTTTTTTTGATGAATATAAAGATCATAAGAACATTTATTTAAAATCGAAATCTTTTGTAGCATTTTAAATGCCCTCACTTTTGACCCATTTATTGCATAAATTCTTTGCTGAATAAAAGCATTCATTTCTTTCTTAACCGCGATTAACTTACCTGTACAATAAGCTGTTTAAAACGTGCATTCTCCCGTTCAATTTCGAGCATCCAGTAATATAATCACACGTCTTGTGGAGCGCTTTCAGAGTATGCATTTATTTGTCATTTTAACTGTTTGGAAACGGAGCGTAAATGTGGAAGTCCTTCAAAGATTTCTTATCCAGTTGCGCCCTCTATAGGACCAGCGACTAGTCAACGTCAAGCTTAAAGCGTCATGGCAGACTTAGCAGAGCATTTAAGTCGATTAGTCGGTGCAACCCCTAGTCCATCATTTGTGATCCCATCCGATCATAATGCATGTGTAAAGAGTGCAGCACACCTCACCCGGGGGACAGTTTTCTTTTTTTATTGTGTTGGAGGGGATGTTACAGTGGTTGCTCATTTCAGCTGAGCTACAAAACGTTCAATGAGATCGCTTCATTACAAACTGACAAAGGTATAACAGATTCACAACAGCATGTACCACAGAACTGGAAATGAGTGTGGGTCTCATATAAATGACATTTCTAATAATCTACATTTTTTTTCATCTTTTTTTTCTCGTTTTCTTTGACTTCATACAGATAATGAATTAGGCTAAAATGCACCATAATATTTGGTTGACTTTAGGAACATTTTCCTTATTACATCACAAAATACATTTTTTATATCCCAAAGAAGCAAGACTTGCAAGTAGGCTTTTAAACATAACTAAATCTACAGCTACAAAATTCTACTCCGGCAGCCTTTATACCTTGGCGGGTCCTGTCTGCGCTCCCAGTCCGTATCGGGTAAAAACACGGGGTCGAATCAGTATGACATATACACAGAAGTCCGTATTGTAAAGGCTATAAAGATTTGTTGCACGTTGTAAAGTTGCCTCTCCTGGATCTTTACACTCCTGCGGGTGATGGGAACTGGGGCGGCGCTGGAGAAGAGTGCGGGAAGAAGGGGGTGGTGCACGGGTGGGGGGTGGATGGG